AAAGGATATGCCTTCTTCCTGGGAAGGTTAACAGAGAATGGAAACACCAAGGCAAATCCTAATTAAGCTGCTTAATATCAAGAGAAAAAAAGAATACTTCACACGGCCAAAGCAGATTGTCTGCAAGTGGGGGTCCATCTGAGGTGGCCCACAGAGCGCTCCACACAGCACTCAGGATCTATAATGGGGAGACTGCAACAACTCTTAGGGAGGGAGGGCTGGCCCGTGAATATTGTTCCCCACCTAGTAATTGTTGGATTCTAGAGCCAACGCCCTAAGTACTCAGGTCTGAAGAAGTCCTGGGATAGAACACCCTGAGCTCTTCTGAGAGGAAATAAAAACTTCATGGCCAGTTAACACTGAACCAAAAGAAAGCAGCACGCGGTGGGGAGGAGGGAAGTGAGAGCAAGGGGGAGAGGGAAGTCAGTCTGTCTTTCAGAGCAGGAAGCCGGCTGTTCTTGTGTAAAAGTGACACTCGTGCATGTTTTAAAAATGCATTGACTCCAAATACCTCAGTTTTTCCCAGTGTCCCCTCGTCTCCTCAGACAGCTCTGAGCAACGACTCACAGTGAGGATCTACTGATGTTCTTTGATTCCTTCAGTTGTGCCTCAGGCTTTTTTCCCTCCATTAAATCTGAGTAAATTCCATGAATTATTTTTGTTGCAGGAGCGAGGTGGTGCGTTCCCACCTTTATTACCTTATTCCGCCCACTCCGCAGGTGTCTGCACCCACAGGAGAGTTCCTCGCACCACGTCTGTCCCTCCATCCGCCCCCCCAGCCTGTGCTCGTAAACATAAACAAAGAGACGTCTTCCTCCTTTCATGGAGGGCGTGGCTGTGGGGGAACTGGGGCCATTTTTAAATTTTCACACCATAGTTTCATTGCTTAAATTCTCTATAGTGAGTACGTGTTATTACACTATTTATAAAAACAAAAACATGATTATTCAAAAATTAAAAACATCCAGGCCGGGCGCGGTGGCTCACACCTGTAATCCCAGCACTTTGGGAGGCCGAGGCGGGTGGATCACGAGGTCAAGAGATCGACACCATCCTGGTCAACATGGTGAAACCCTGTCTCTACTAAAAATACAAAAAATTAGCTGGGCATGGTGGCGCGTGCCTGTAATCCCAGCTACTTGGGAGGCTGAGGCAGGAGAATTGCCTGAACCCAGGAGGCGGAGGTTGCGGTGAGCTGAGATCGCGCCATTGCACTCCAGCCTGGGTAACAAGAGCAAAACTCCGTCTCAAAAAAAAAAAATTTTTTAAACATCAAAGGCAAATATTCTAAGATGCTGACAGTGCTAATTTTGGACAATGTAACTGAGTATGTTTGCTGTTTTCTTCTTTGGGTATTTTTTTCTGCAATGGGGTCTCACTGAGTTGCCCTGGCTGCAGTGCAGTGGTACAATCACGGCTCATTACAGTCTCTGCCTCCCCAAGGTCAAATGATCCTCCTACCTCAGACTTCTGAGTGGCTGAGACTATACGTGCACACCACCATGCCAAGCTAGTTTTGGTATTTTTAGTAGAGACAGGGTTTCACCATATTGGTCAGGCTGGTCTAGAACTCCTGCCCTCAGGTGTGGCACCCACCTCAGCCTCCCCGAGTGCTGGGATTATAGGCATGAGCCACCATGCCTGGCGTTTTTTTTTTTTTTTTTTTCTGAGATGGGGTCTCATTCTGTTCCCCAGGCTGGAGTGCAGTGGCACAATCACAGCTCACTACAGCTTCTGCCTCCCCAAGGTCAGGTGATCTTCCTTCCTCAGCCTTTCGAGTAGCTGGGACTACAGACATTTGCCACCATGCCTGGCTAATTTTTGTATTCTTTGTAGAGATGAGGTTTTGCTGTGTTGCCCAGGCTGGTCTCAAACTTCTGGGCTCAAGCGATCTACCCACCTTGCCCTCCCAAAGTGCTAGGATAACCGGTGTAAGCCACTGGAACTGGCCTTGCATTTTTAATTTACAAAATTTTTACATTTCCAAAAATTAAAATCATAATGAAGGCCTGTTTATTTAAAAAGAGCCATAAAGAGTTCCTTCCTCTTTCCCCTGGAAGATTCAGGGAACAAATCTCTGTCGGCACATGACAGAGACCATCTCTCAACTGAAATGCAACCATGGAGAAAAGAACTTCCAGGAGCCACATGCCGCTGCTATGACAGTTATGCAAATGAATCAAAGTCTGCATTCAAAGAAACTGATATAAATAGATTAATTTGTTAAATTCCCTTCTGGTTTTAATGTTGCATGCAAATACAAATGCAAAGGGAATTATGTGTAAAATTGTTGCTAAAAGACAGCAAAGAATAGGAAAAATAAATTTGCCATCAACCTCCCAAGGGTTGGTGAGAGATTCTTCAAACTAGAATCTCATAAAGCAACTGATTAAAAACATACCAGACACTCTGGCCTCTTCTTTCCGACTAGCTGAACAAATCTATGAAACAAGGGGCAGAGCATTATGAACTAAGCTGGTCTGACTACCACATCTCAGCGCTCAAATCTGTTCCTCCCCTCTGCATCTGCGTTTAGTTTGACTTGTTTGGTGTAAGAAGAGGCTTTTTGCATTGGGGCTCACTCCCCTCTCTGCTGTGACCAAGCCCAGGCTGCCTGCTAGAGGCAGAGAGACCACATGGAGGGTGGCCTCAGCCATCTCAAGCCCCAACATCCTAGCTGAGGCCCCAGGCATGTCCATGGGCCACACTAGGCCAGCAGCCACCAGGGCCAACCAAAGAAGTTGTGAGCAATCACATGTGGGCTGAATTTTTTTTTTTTAGACGGAGTTTGGTTCTTGTTTCCCAGGCTGGAGTGCAGTGGCACCATCTCAGCTCACTGTAATCTCTGACTCCCGGGCTCAAGTGATTCTCCTGACTCAGCCTCCCAAGTGGCTGGGATTACAGGCATGTGCTGCCACACCCAGCTAATTTTTGTGTTTTTAGTAGAGGCAGGTTTCACCATGTTGGTCAGGCTGGTCTCAAACTGCTGAGTTTATGATCCTCCCGCCTCGGCCTCCCAAAGTGCTGGGATTACAGGCATGAGCACCACGTCCTGCCATATGTGGGCTGTTTTAAGTCACCGAGCTTCAGGCAGCCTTGACAATGACTCCTTCCTCGACCAAACCATCCAGGCTCCTTTGACCCCTCTTCTCAACGAGGCCTCATCCCCAGCCCTGATCAAATTCCTCGTCCTTCACCCTGAGGTCAAAGTCCCTGGCCTGCCGTAGCCAGATGTCCTCCCTTGGTGCAGTGGGTGCCGTCTGACAGGCAGTGGTACAGGGTTCTGCTGTCATGGGAGCTCTGGCTTGGGCTTGGGATGGCTGAGGCCTCCCTCCATGTGGTCTCTCTGCCTCTAGCAGGCAGCCTGGGCTTGGTCACAGCAGAAAGGAGAGTAAGCCCGAGGCAACAAGCCTTTTCTTGCACCAAACAAGTCAGCCTCTGAGGCCCAAATGGCCCCAGGATGACACTTTGAATAGCAAGAGTCTGGGTTATTTAGGCAAGCATCTCATTTGGACCATTCATAACTCGGAGTGGGACTTGGAACCCACAGCGTTTCTGCAAATGTCAGCCATGCTTGTGCCTTTATAGACATGCTGAAAATCTGAAATATCCTCCCCGTGCCTCAAGGTAGAATGTCTACCACTGGAGCTACCAAGAGGAAAACCTGAACACAGGTATGCTGTGGGTCCCCAGACCAGCAATAAAAAGATTAAAGAGCCAGAGATCCCCAGTGAGCCAGCCGAACTTGGGGTCCCAAGCAGGCCTCAAGGCCCTTGTTAGTCTTGTGCATCCAGGACCAGGGATACAGCTTGGCTCTGTGTCTTCCCCCAAACATCATCTGGAATCAGAATTCTCATAATCCCATGTGCTGAGGGAGGGACTCGGTGGGAGTGGATTCCCACATGCTATTCTCATGACGACTTCTCACAAAAGCTGACGGTTTTATAAGTGTCTGAGAGTTCCTCCTTCATGTATGCTCTCTCTCCTGCCATCTTGTTAAGAAAGTGCCTGCGTCCCCTTCCATCACAATTGTAAGATTTCTGAGGCCTCCCCAGCCAGGCGAGACTGTGAGTCAATTAAACCTCTTTTCTTTATAAATTACCCAGTCCCAGCGGAGTTCTTTATAGTAGTGTGAGAACAGAGAAGCACACAAGCCCTCTCTACCACAGAGCTGGGATCTGAGGGGTATCTACCTGGGACCCCATCCATGGCCCAGTCTAGACCAGCTGCCCCACTCTAAGCCCTGGATGTAGGCGTCAGTCCAGGGGTGAGATGGGATCCAGGGGAGCCAATCAGTGTGACTCCTTTGGAGTTGTGTCACTGCACTGATGGAGAAAGCTCTAGAAACTCTAGGAGACTGAGTTGGGAGAATGATAACATGGGAATGCAGCCATGTTCTCCTCTCATGATGAAAATCTCACTGCCAGGGAGAGATTGGGGCTGACGCTGAGAAAGGAGGTGTGGGGGAAAGGGAGGCTGAAATCTGGAGTCAACAGTCCCCTGTTCTTCATGAGCCCAGAACTTTGAGGGTAGGGGAGAGCAGGTGGGACATGGGGCCATTGGCCTCTGTTCTTCAGGGGTCCTTTAAGAGGTGATTAGACCCTGTGGATATGCTGGTTCTGGCACTTGTTCTGTAATTCAACAACCTCTCCACCATCTTTTAAATGCATTTCTTTCCATGGAAGCAGATTTTGTGGACTTTTGGCTACCGGCCCATTAAGTCCTGATTAGTAACTACCCCTTCGGTCCTCAGGGTGCTTGGGACAGAGGAAGTCACCAGAATAGGCAATCAGAGAGAGTGGAGAGGATCTCTGTTACCTTTAGACCCCCACCAGCCTCCTCCCTCCTTCCCAATCACAGACTCTGGACAGAAACTCTGCCCACCCCAAGGAAGATGCCAGTTCCCTTCCTGGTACCTGGACATGACCTCCCCAACAGGAGGACCCAGCTCTCCTCCTGGTTGTGATGTCACAGGTCCTGACATTCCATAGTGTCCTGGAAACCAAAGGTGAGACACTGCAGACCTTCAGAACGTCCTTCTCCTTCTGCTGGAGGGAGCATGGCAGTGAGCCAAGGAGCTGGGACCCTCTGCTTTGTCCTCCTGCTGTGCTGCTGGCAAGAACTATGTGGGACATGGCCAAGAACTATGACTCCAGGTAAGGCCTCGCGGGGATGGCTCAGCAGAAAGAGAACTGAATCAGGTAGACGGTGGCCTCTGCTCCCGTGGGTTCCTCTCATTCCCTACCAGGGCAAATTCACCATTTATTCCTTGGGGAATGAATGTAGCTGAAAAGTCTTCCTATTTTTGAAGACCTTTTAAAATCTAGATGTCCATGGGAGAGTTGCATATGTTACTTATTTTAACTATTTATTATGGAAAATGTCTAACTTGGAAGAATATCATGAATCTCCATGTATTCACCCTCAGTTTCAATTATTGTACATATTTTGGTTTTTTCTACACGCACACACCACACACACCACACACAAACTTTTCTTGTTTGGGGAGTGTTTTATCACTGTCCCAGATGTCTTACCACTTCATGTAAAACATTTTCTTGCTACGAGATAAAAGCATTATCCACAGTGTCATAATCACACTAACACAACTACCAAAATTCTTTATAGCAACTCACACCAGTTAAAAAATATTTGCAACAGAGGCTGGGCGCAGTGGCTCAAGCCTGCAATCCCAGCACTTTGGGAGGCCAAGGCGGGTGGATCACGAGATCAAGAGATCAAGACCATCCTGGTCAACATGGTGAAACCCCGTCTCTACTAAAAATACAAAAAATTAGCTGGGCACGTTGGCGCGTGCCTGTAATCCCAGTTACTCAGGAGGCTGAGGCAGGAGAATTGCCTGAACCCAGGAGGCAGAGGTTGTGGTGAGCCGAGATCGCGCCATTGCACTCCAGCCTGGGTAACAACAGCGAACCTTCGTCTCACAAATATGTGTGTGTGTGTATATATATATATATATATATATGTATGTATATATATATATATGTATGTATGTATATATATATATATGTATGTATGTATATATATATATATATGTATGTATGTATATATATATATGACATTGGTTAAAGATGGGCAGGAGGACTTTACTCAAAGTGGGCTACTACCATGGTGTCTCACAGCAGCAGTGAGTGGGCTCCACTCCAAATACAGGGAGAGTGCAGATTTGCAGCCAAGAATCAGGGCAGGTCCATGGATGAACACCGCTAAGAGGTAGGAGAATTCTCTGCTGAAGTGTAGGTCACTACAGGAGCCCGGGCCTGAAAGCCGGCCAAGGTAATCAAAGATGGAGGGGGAGGAATTTGATCAGATATCAAGGGTGAACAGGCCAAGATGGGATTTCCACCAAAAGACTTCACAGGATTCCTACTGAAAATGGAAAAAAAGCAGACAAAGACAGAAGCTAGGGTCAAAGTGTAGTCAAAGAGAAGACTCGGAGGGGCCTAGCATGAGGCAAGTCAAGGAACGAGGATTTCTTGGTCCCTCCTCTTAAGAACAGACCAGGCTGGGCATGGTGGCTCACACCTGTAATCCTAGTACTTTGGGAGGCCAAGGTGGGCAGATAACCTGAGGTCAGTATTTCAAGATCACTCTGACCAACATGGTGAAACCCCATCTCTACAAAATTAGTCAGCATGATGGTGCATGCCTGTAATTCCAGCTCCTTGGGAGGCTGAGGCATGGGAATCACCTGAACCCACGAAGTGGAGGTTGCGGTGAGCCGAGATCACACCATTGCACGCCAGCCTGGGCAACAAGAGCGAAACTCCATCTCAAAAAAACAGACAAACAAACAAAAAGAACAGACTGATAATTCAAGAAAACGTTGACCTTTTATCAGAGAGAGAAAAGCAAACTCCAGTACTGCATTGCTACACTATGGATACTAAAGCTCATCTAAAAGAATCTTATAATAAAATTCACTTAGTGCATCTTTACCACATAAGATTTTTCTCTCTCTCTTTTTTTCTCAGAGAACGATTCCATCCTTCCATGTTCATTTAGGCATTTTGTCCTTCTTTCTCTCTTCCTGAGAAAACCTTTAGCTATTTTAGGACAAAATTGCTCATCCTTTTCTTCAATGAAAACACATTCTTCATAACTCACATGCTGTATTATCAAAAGCGGATCCCACTTTCCTTTATACTTTGCACTGGAAGTTGTTTCATTTTTCTCCCTCATCATTTCTAGTAGTTTTAATGACACATGTTGATTACAATGCTCCACAGAGGAAACTAGACGTAGACAGTTGTGAATTGTCTGTCACATAGAGCATTCTGTGACAAAACAGCAAACTGTATGACTACACCATCTTACGGTTTTTAGACACATATTCATCTACAGCATAGTTTTTCAAGGTGGAAAAAACTTTTGTTAACAGACTCAGTCAGTCTCTCCATATGATATAAAATTAGAAGTAAAAAGCATATAAACTTGTGCTTGGTACTATTTCAATGGGTTATCTTAAAAATTATTAAGGAAACTGTTGTTTTACTTAACTGATCATAACTCTAGGGTTATGAGTCACCAAAAAGATATTTAGAAACTGTTTTTTAAAGGCAAACACAGGCAGGGTGCAGTGGCTCACACCTGTAGTCCCAGCACTTTGGGAGGTTAAGGCTGCTGGGTCACTTGAGCCCAGGAGTTTAAAACCAGCCTAGGCAACATGGAGAAACTCCATCTTTGAAAAAAAGAAAAAAGTGCAGAAATTAGCCAGGTGTGGTGGCACGTGCCTATAGTTCCAGATACTTGGGAGGCTCAGATGGGAGGATCACCTGAGCCTGGGAGGTCAAGGCTACAGTGAGCCATGAATACACCCCTGTACTCCAGCCTGGCTGACAGAATGAGACCCTATCTCAAAACAAAACAAAACAGGCAGACAGACTATTGTAACTGCCCAAGGGGTTCACCTTGCCCACTGCCTAGGCAGAGCCAATTCATTGAGAAAGGAGAATTGCAATAAAGAGTAATTCAGGCAAAGTGGCTGTGTGGGAGACCGGAGTTTTATTATTTCTTAAACCAGTCTCCTCCAGCATTTAGAGAACAGAGTTTTTAAGGATGACTCGCTGGGTGGGAGGAGCCAGTGGGCCAGGAGTGCTGACTGGTCAGGGATGAAGTCATAGGGAGGTGGAGCTCTCTTCTTGCAGAGTCAGTTCCTGGGTGGGGCCACACGATGAGATGAGCCAGTTTATCCATCTGGGTGGTACCAGCTGACCCATCAAGTGCAGGGTCTGCAAAATATGGGAGCAGTTTAGGGAGGGTCAGCATCTTATAGCCTCCAGCTGCGACTCCTAAACCACCATTTCTAATCTTGTGGCTAATGTTAGTCAAAAGCCATCTAGTCTCCAGGCAAGAAGAAGGTCTGCTTTGGGAAACGGCTGTTACCGTCTTTGTTTAAACTATAAACTAAGTTTCTCCCAAAGTTAGTTCAGCCTACGCCCAGGAATAAACAAGACCAGCTTGGAGGTTAGAAGCAAGATGGAATCAGTTAAGTTGGCACTCCTCCACTGTCTCAGTCATAATTTTGCAAAGGTGGTTAAATGCCTCCCTTTGAGTTTTATAGCACCTTAATCTTAAGGTATAGGCTCTGAAGATGGGCAAAGGCTGTCCGTCGCTCTGGCTTCTTCCTGCAGACAGGGAATATAGTGGGAATGGGAGTGAAGCCCAAGGTGAGAGGAGTGGAACCACTTTGCACCTGACTCCTGCAGGCCTGGCTGGGCTTCCAAGGCTTGCATGGTAGAAACATTATTAACTGTCTTTTCTCAGGACGGAATTTAAGTAAACAGCATACTATAAGGTAAATAATAAGTCCTAGGATGAGTACAATTTTTAATTTTTAAAGCAAAGATTTGAGGCCAGGCATGGTGGCTCACACCTGTAATCCAAGCTACTAGGAAGGCTGAGGCAGGAGAATCTCTTGAACCCAGGAGGCGGAGGTTGCAGTGAGCCAAGATCATGCCACTGCACTCCAGCCTGGGCAACAAGAGCGAAACTCCGTCTCAAAAAATAAAAACTGAAAAAGATTTGAAAGCATTAGTTTGGGGATTCTAACTCGTAAATAATTCAGAATTTAGTCTAAACTGCAGAAAAAAACAAAACCTTAAGAAGAGCTAACAACAGCGTACGGTTGGCTTTTCTTGAAGCATAATTTTTCTCTCTCCAGTCCCCATATTTTAAAACACAAATCATGATAGAGCTGATTCACAGCTTACAGAACAAACTTCAGTCTTACGGTACCTGCTTGGCTTGATCAATGGCATAAAGGGCAGCAAGAATAATTATTTGTCCCTTAGGCTTTAATTGGCTTTGATGGAACTTTGTTCCCTGAAGCATTTTAGATAAGACTTTTTAAAAGCCAAACCCAGCCATAGGTTTGTAACCTTTCTAAGTTTTGTAAGTTTGTAACTATTTCTAAGTATTCTCAATTTACGGTAGTATAGTTAATTGCATGAGTGAAATACAAATCTGTTTTCTTTTGTAACAGGACACAGTTGGAGAAAGTGGTCATTTTACTAAGGCTTTTGAGTTGAGCAAATTTCTCTTCTTTTGAGGTCCCACGGTAACTTGGGGTTCCTGGGCCTGTTAGAAAGTGACATTTTCTATTTACCACAGGTCAGGAACCTTGTACAAGGACTCTGTGCGGACAAGCTATGAGGCGAGATTCCCCAGCAAGCTTTAATTAGCTTTATGAGTTAACTTTGATTCTTTAAAGGAAAGATAAAGAAGGCTTTCCAGTTAAAGCCTTGGTAAAATGACCAATTTCTCCAACTGTGACCTGTTACAAAAGAAAACCAATTTTTATTCCACTTGGGCAATTAACTATACTACCATAAGCTGAGAATACTTAGAGATAGTTTCCAAATTCTGGAGAAATCAGGTAGAGAGAAACAAACATGTTATAAATTTTGTCCATAGGGTTTATTTAAATAGCTTTAAAGAAATAAGCTCTTTTGACTTGGAAAACAAAGGTTTAGCAACGTCTAACACATTAGGTTTCCATGAGAGTTCTAGAAGTTCATTTTTTTCTTTATTCCAGTAGCACAATTTTTAAAGTTATCTGAGACCTTCACTTAGAGTTTTATATTTGATTATAAATTGCCTTTTGAAAAGGACCCAAGCAAAATGTTTGTGGATGACAGAAGAATAGGGTAGCCACTATTAAAGACACGATTGACAAGGAAATGTTATCTCTGTAGCACACGGTCATTTAACATAATATTTATAATAATTACTGATAATATATACTAACTTATCTTTGAATTATAAGAGTTTTACATAATTTTAGAACATATATTAGTAACACATTTATACAAATGTAGCCCAAAGAAAGGCCAACACCATTTTATATTTGACAATGTTTCCTGTATGGTTTTTATACCAAGTAAGCCAAATGTCATTTTGGAATTTAAAGGACCTAATTTTTAAATAGTATGTTAGAAAGAGACATAATTTATCATTTGATTTTGCAAGGTTTGTCAAATATCAAAGGTTTAAAACACTGGATTTCACAAAATAGAATCGCAGATCATTATAAGTCTTCTGTCTCCTCCCTTTTTTTCCCTTTTACCAAAAGGAGAAAACAAAACTCTTTCATTATATTTTAACATTATATAACATTTGTCTTCAAAAGAGAAAACCAAATTCCATGCATGTATTAGTACATTTTTAATGTTAAAGTAGTTTTTTAAATAAAATTTTATATCTCTATTTGGTTTTAATTAGTTTGGTCACAAAGTAAGATTTCTATCAACTTTTAGAACCCTTCACAATTTTTCATCAAACAGCAGATTAATTTTCTAAGAACACCCTGTTATTCAGACACATGGGCCCAGATTCTGGCCCTACATTAGTGTGATTTTAATGTTTTAACCTACGGAAAAAAGGTAAAAAACTTTAAATCTCAGTCAACTTGCTTAAACTCACAGAATTTTAAATTAAGATTAACCCTTTACAAACCCTTTCACTTTCCTTAAACCTTTAGGTTTGTCCCATTTCCTCTTTTAGGTAAAGACAATCTTTAAAACCCTCTGAACCAGACAAAATTACACTCCCTTTCACAAAAGCCGTATTCCTGTGCCTTCTTATAATCTACCAAAAATACATGCTCTGTACGCCTTATATGTAAACTGTTTCTCCAGTCATCTTAATTTTATGTTATAATGTTAACACTTAGCAACTTTTATTTTCAGTGAAAAACCTGGTAAGTAAGCGATTTTACTTGTGTGCTGGGGTGGAGCCGAGGACATCAGGCACACGTGAAGACAAGGCCTGACTTCAGCACAGCCAGGGGCGTGGCTCTCCACAGGTCTCCAGGGGCGTGGCTCTCCACAGGTCTCCAGGGGCATGGCTCTCCACATGTCTCCAGGCGTGTGGCTCTCCACATGTCTCCAGGCCTTATCTATAACCTGATACTTCAAAGTAGGGAAAGTGAACAATTTTCAAAAGTCAAGGGAGTAGTTTGACCTTAAAACAATTAGCAGGTCTGATATTTGATCTTCCTTTAGACCAAATGTCTACATTTTTAAGATATGTTGTTTAATAATTTAAAAAATTCTTTCTTTCTAAAACTGGCTAATCTTTCTAAAAAATTACTAGTCACATTAACAAAAATGCATTAAAATTTCTACTTTTCTGACAAAATATGTAAGTGCTTATTTTTTAAGCCAATTAATCAATGCTCTTTTATATATAAACAAACATACAACACATATAAATACACAGACAGAAGATTCAGCACTTGTAAGATTTTTCATTTGCCAGTTTTTAAATTGGAATGCTGGCTTCAGGGTGGAGTCTTGGAGAAACAGGGCCAGGAAAGCATGCATTTTTAAGCAGGCACAGCTGAAAGCAAAGACAGATCCCTAAAATTAAGGGTGTCATTTTATACTTAATACTGGATCCCCGAAAGGAGAGAAGTACTGCTGGAGACGGTGCGACGCTTCTACTGTACATTTTATTGCAAGGTAACCCAGAGCCAATGAGCCGCTTTGTGATGGGGTCATCCCCCATTGCAGTCCCATGTCCCAGTGTGGGTGGGGATGTTTCCATATCTTTCAGACGGCCAGGAGCATGTATCTCTCATCCAATAGTGCAGAGTCAAGTATTCCTCCATTACTGTTAGCCATCCCTTAAAGTGTATTTCCTACCTAGTTATTACACACCAAAGCTTTTTTATAATGTGAAGTAATGTCTGATACCCCCCAAAACTCAAAACTGTCAGGTGACACAATGCAAAACAGAACAGAGCCTTTGATTTGGAGAGGATTTATCCACTTTTAATTCCTGCGGTTTCATGAGAAAAACAGAGGTTTTGTTTGTTTGGTTGAGGTTGGGTTTTTTTTGTATTTTTTTTCAAAACAGGGCCTGTGGTGCCTCCTCTGCTTTTCCCAAGGAGTCCCCAGCTACCAGAAGTTATCTTAGGGCCTCTCATGTGTGCACTAAGAGTGACAAGACCAAAAAAAAAAAAGTTGATTGAGAATAAAAAAAAAAAAAACTTTTTCCAGAAAAACAAGATCCAAGAAGAGAAAAACGTAAAGGCCTTTTAAATACATGAATGGCTTGTTTATCCACTTCTAATTCACTGACTTTTAACCATAGTGCTCTTTATAAAGAAATGCTTTCAAAGCTCTTATTACCTGACTTTAGCCCTGCCAAGTGGCCAATGTTTTTAGCTTCTGAACTTTAGGTGCTTCGAAAACATGGTAAGCCGTTTCTTTCTTTACAAGATTTAGAATCTCCACAAGGTAGTTCAGAGACAGGAAAATTCAAAAGAGGAAATCAGAAGCTATCCATGAGGGGAAAAAAAAATAAATGGCAAAGTTACATAAATTAAAAATCAGAAAGAAATCATTCCGGAAGCCAAGCATAGAACCCAGGCTGCCATTGTCCAAAGGCAAAGTCTTGGCCACTGAGTCACAGTACTGAGCACTTTTTATTGCTCTTCCCAGAAGGAGCCTGAGAAGCCCATTTCAAGCTTGCAAAGGCTTTTAACTGCTCAAGAAAATTTTTAGACTTAACTATGACATGAATCCCCAAATTCCTGTCTTCTAGAAGGTGGAAACCAAGAGAAAGTATCCACACATGGTCACGAGATTAAGCTCTTAAGGACACAAAACAAGACAGAGAAATTTCATGCAGTATCGTTCAGGGACCCAGCCTGCCAGGCTGGCCTGAAGAGCAGGCTTGAAAGTGGGTCCTGAACACACGTTTCATCCTGTGATACTCCTTTCTCCATTACGGAACGCAGAACGACAAATTCTTAGCACAAAGTACACCAGATTTGCTACCGCCTAACACTAGTCTCACACATCGTTTTTCTATTAATTAAACCCTTGCAGAGTGACAAATACTGATGTTTACCATTTGCTCAGACAGAGAGAGACCAGAAACTTGGCTGGTTAAGAATTTCTTACGCTTTCTGACAGCATACCAGACATCTGGGCTCCCTTTCTATGCAGCTTCAGGAAGAACAGAGAGGCTTCTAATGACCTTGCTCACTGCACCATAGCTGTGGGGTTCAGGACACTTTACAAGAGAAAAATCACCCTTTCCTGTTTAATGAAACTTCAGGCAAGATTCTTAATTTGCAAGATGCTGCCCAGTGGGCTGCATGGGGAGCTGAATTAACATTGTCCACGCCAGCTAAATACACACATAACAAAACAAACGTGAGTCACCTCACTCAGCACTCAGTGTCAACCTGGCAAAGCTCAAACTTTTCCCATTGGTCCCTGTTGTTTTGATCCACTCCAGGTGGGGACAGACAACCTCTGCATGGTAATTCACAATAAGGTCTCTGAGCTAGGCAAAGAGCAGATAGTCACCCCAAGACAGGCCTGTTGAGCCTCCTCAAGGGTTCATCGAATATGACCAGACAAATGAGGAGGGTTCTGAGTTAGCCCTGCTTGACGTCCATCAGCAATCCCTTCTGAGATCCCTTCCACACCTACAGTCACACACAGACGAGAGGACAGAAGGCCTTCCAAATCAGATCCCTAACCAAGAACTCCAGGAGTATCCTACACCCTGTCCTCCTATTCCCCTTCTGAGAAACCTCCTCAAAATCTTCCTGATTCAGGAGAAGTCTCCCAAACCAGGAATCTTCCTGCTGGTTAGAAAGAGCCAACCGAGACCCCCAGGAGCCAAACAGACACCCTGCAATGGAGCTACAGGCACCCCTTCTAGTGCTCCAGAACCAGTCAGAAGAAGGAAGGAGGTGCTGGCAGTGCCTAGGATGCTCACCAGTCCAGACGCCCCGCAATGGGGCTACAGACAGACACTCCGTGACGGGGCTACAGTTAAGCGAGGTTTCCCCAGGACCATCTCTTCATTGCAATTCAATCCATGCATGCTGGGTTCGCAGTGCCCTCCAGTAGACAGAATAGCAGAGTCAGCCTCCATCCAGGGCAACTAGGCAGCGGCTTGGGCTGGCTTCTGGATCCATCGCTGATGGGGGCCACCAAACCACACGATGGGTATCCAAAAGGGCAATCCCGGATTAGCCCCAAATTCGTAACCACCCAAGGGGTTCACCTTGCCTGCTGCCTAGGCAGAGCCAATTTATCAAGACAGGGGAATTCCAATAGAGAAAGAGTAATTCACACAGAGCCAGCTGTATGGGAGACCAGAGTTTTATTACTGCTCAAATCAGTCTCCTCGAGCATTTGGGGAGCAGAGTTGTTGTTGTTGTTGTTGTTGTTGTTGTTGTTGTTGTTGTTGTTTTGGGACAGAGTCTTGCTGTGTCGCCAGGCTGGAGCGCAGTGGCGCAATCTCAGCTCACTGCAATCTCGGCCTCCTGGGTTCAAGCAATTCTCCTGCCTCAGCCTCCCAAGTAGCTGGGACTACAGGCACGCACCACCACGCCCAACTAATTTTTGTATTTTTAGTAGAGACAGGGTTTCACCATGGTGGCCAGGATGGTCTCAATCTCTTGACCTTGTGATCCACCTGCTCGACCTCCCAAAGTGCTGGGATTAGAGGCGTGAGCCACCGCGCCCTCTGAGAGCAGAGTTTTTAAAGATAACTTAGTAGGTGTGGGGGGAGACACAGAGCCAGGAGTGCTGACTGGTCAGGTATGAAGTCATAGGGAGGTGGAGCTGTCTTCTTGCAGAGTCAGTTCCTGGGTGGGGCCACAAGATGAGATGACCCAGTTTATCCATCTGGGTGGTGCCAGCTGACCCATCAAGTGCCGGGTCTGCAAAATGGACCCTGCAGTTTAGGGAGGGTCAGCATCTTGTAGCCTCCAGCTGCGTTACTCCTAAACCATCATTTCTAACCTTAGGCCATCTAGTCCCCAGGTAAGAAGGAGGTCTGCTTTAGGAATTGGCTGTTACTGTCTTTGTTTAAACTGTAAACTATAAACTCTCTCCCAAAGCAAGTTCAGCCTATGCCCAGGAACAAACAAGGCCAGCTTGGAGGTTAGAAGCAAAATGGAGTCTGTTAAGTTAAATCTCTTTTTCTGTCATCTTAGTCATAACTTTGCAGAGGTGCTTTCACTATGACACCAAAGCTGCTGCCATCTCAAGCTTTAACCTCCAAGCTGCACTATTCTTGACTTTATTTGGCTGGTAACGCAAGTAGAATGCTGTGTGTTCTCCGTGGATGGGCCAGAGCCACTCCCTGGTCAGTCACCTCTCATCGGGACGAATGCTGGGGGCACCGCTCTGTTTAAGCCACAGAAGGGAGGGGAGTCCGGTCACAGACTGGAATGACTGGCTCAAGGAGACAGAGGAATGGGCTCTTCATTTCTCATTTTCCAGAGCTGGCTGCTGCTTGCTCCTTAGGAAAGCACTCCGGTCACAGCTGAATAAGGAGTGGGTGAGACAGAAAAAAGATCAGAGTTTGGTCCTCAGCTCCCAAGATCTGATTGCCTCATCCAGACAGTTGAATCAGGTGATCAAGGTCTTCCCCAGCTTAAAGACCAATTAAGGGATCATTTCTAAATCCCTTTCTCCCAGGGGACACTGGGTTTTCTTACTCTGCTTGGGCCCTACTGACTCAGTGGGCACTTGAGCTGTTTGCCGCTGGAATTGAGTTGACGGTGTTACGTGGCTTTCTTGAGATGTTAGACCTTGGCGGAGAGAGGAGAACGGTTGATGTGGTCCCAGTGATGGAGAAGGGTCCTATTTTCCCCAAATTAACCGGAGTGAAATCTCAGAACTCCACAGACACCAGTGTGTGCATGATGCAAATATCGAGAAAGAGCAGTGGATACTCACGATTACACAGTGTGCAGCATCTTACAACCGGGAGGCGGAAGTCAGAGGTGACACAGGAAGAACATGGCAAAGCCGCTCCACTTGACAATGCACTTTAAAACCCACGCGAATGTTATAAACACAAATACTTCACTGCACATCTTGCTGGCTGACTTACACAACGCTTCCATTATAATTATGGGACAGACACAAAATGAAAAGAATATTTTTAACAAAGCACTTGCGCGACGCAGCTGTACCCATTCTTAATGATCATTAATGTCTCATCCAAAGAGAACTGTACTTTGTTTCGTTTACTGAAGGTCAGCATAGTGGGAAGCAATTGCCATCACATCTCAGACCTTTTTGCATATTTTCCCGCATTGTTCTGAGCCTGCAAGTGCGCAGACAAGTCCATTGGTATGCAGATTGTCTGTCATTAAAGCCATTTGGAAATCAGCTTTGTCATTGGTTTGGTGTTGGAACTTCAGATCCTAGCAGACACCACGGGAAATCTGTGCACGGCCCTGCTGAGCCCAACCTCAGGGCTGGAGGAGAAGCTGACCTTGACCTTGAGTCTAAGCCCCAGCACACTGAAACGCCACGCCTCCAATAAAGAAAACCCGTGAATGACACAAGCAAGAAACCATTGTGTGGGGGCTAACCAGGCGAAAGCAGTATTCAGAACCGCCACCCGTTGTTGGGGTCACTCAGCACGATCAGCTCCTGTCAGTGAGGCAGCCGAGGCCACAGGTCAGGAGGCCACGGGGCCTGTGGACAACCCACATTCCAGACCTCGGGATTTCACCCACATGACTCCACCTGTTATCTGCAAATGGGACCACCCTGAAATCGCTTTGCTTATGAAGGAGGAGAAAGTGGGGTGGTCCGTCTCTCTGAGTCTGGACCTTCCTAAAACAGCCACAAAGCCATGGCTTCATAATGGAGCCATAGCATTGCACGCCGTTTTCCCATTTCCCCAGAACATGTTTCAAAGCTTCCAGGTGCATTGTGGGAGCCACTGATGAAGGAGGTCAGAGTGTTGCTTTCGCAGAAGGAGACGTGCCCCCTTACTTTGCTTACCCCAAAACAGCCAGCTGAGCCCAGTCATCCTCGGGACCAGGAGTTTGTGTCAGCCTCTCAAGGCGTAACTCCAGAGACCAGGAGGGCAGGCTCAGCTCAGAGCTGCTGGGCAACCATCCTCCATTTTCACAGCCGCCCCAGAGTGTTTGTTTCCCTGCATTTTCCAGATGAAATCTTTCCCAGGGCCTTCTCTCATCACCCACAGGAGGGAATGGAACTCGGGAAGGGCTCCTTCCTCTAGAGGGGGGCTGGTGGGCACCCACAAAACCATATCCATTTAAAGAGAAGCAAATGCAAAATCAGTGAACATTGTTAAACTATAGGGCTTTTATTTCCCTCCTAGGTTCAAGTTCTGGACCGCCGTCAAGTTCGTCAAGTTTTAAAAATATAGATGATGATATGGCCACAGTATTTGGTAAGGAAGCCCCTCCTATCAACCTCTGGCCTGTACGTGAAGGGGGCTGGATGGTTATCTGTGGCTGTTTCCCAGATAACCTGGTACATGCTACAAACTGACTGGTTTGAGGCTAGAATCACACCCCCAGGACCCAAAGCTTTAGTGCTGACATCTAAGAGTCAAACTTAGGAAATTAAGGACACCATTACACCTAGAAAGTGCCTGGGAGCCTGGCTTCTCAAAGTGAGGTCTGAGGACCCACAGCATCTTCATCACCTGGGACCTTGCTAGAAAGGCCCAGGGGCAAGCTGGGCCCAACCCTCCAGCACCAGCATTGCACTCAACCTGACACCCCTGATTCCTGTGCACCCGAGAGGCACCGAGGCTCAGCCGTCCCCTCCTCCACAGCCTTAGCCCTGTCAGCCCCCTGGGGAGATGGTGGAAACCACAGACACCCTGGCCTTATCCCAGGCATGCAGACCGTGCTGCTTGGGCTGGGCCTGGTGCCTCTGTGCTTCTCTAGAGCTCTGCAGGTGATGCTAAAATACGGCCGGTGGAGAACCTCTGCCCTGGGCCGGGACCGCCCATTAGAAACAGCGCAAGCAGCAGATGTGCTTTTCATCATCTAGTGGCCACATTAAAAAGACACAGATGAAACTCACTGTGATAACATTTTATTTCGTGTGACGATTTCAACATGTGATCAACGTAAAATTTATTAATGAGGCATTTTCAGTCTTTCCATCACACGGGATCTTCACAATTCAGTGTGTCCTTTGCATTTCACATGCGTGGACAGCCATGCTCCGGCGTGTGAACGTCTGGCCAGGGTTACCTCATGGGCAGTGCCCGCAGTCCTGCTCCAATCTCTCATTTTACATGTGGGGAAACTGAGTCCTGGAGTGCTGGGTCTCAGAGCATGGGGTCCTGAACTGTGCTCACATTGGTGCCCTGCTCACATCGAAGATGTGAAGGGAAGCAGTCACCTTGGGAAGCAGTCACCTCCCAGGACCTCTCTGCCAGCGTCACCTGTGGAGTGGGATCAGGAGTAGAGGGTGGGGTCACCTTCCACCCGGCAGGGCCCGGACTGCGGCTGCAGAGGCTGCATGACCTGGAACAGGGGCTCCCGTGGGAACACAGGTGCCCCCAGGTGCTGGGCCCCTTCCAGGAGCTGCCACTTTTGGGAAGCCAGTCTGCTCTGTTTCCAGGTCTCGGTGGGAGAGGCCCGGGAAAGCTCTGCCTGCCTACGTGTTTGGTGGTTACGTGGATGGCTGAGTGAGCACTCGAGTGAATGAATTGATGTTCACATTCTTGCTTCTGCCACCCAGTCTACTTTACGGGTACCCAAGGGAACTGGCCAGGCAGGAGTTATGCTCCCTGAGGTCAAGGGGAGTCACCACCAACACGTGAGAGCCTCTGAGTCAGGCAGGGGATGGGGCCTCACTAGGGCGAGGGAAGCCCAGATCCTCTGCAGGCGTCAGCTGGGTGTGCTGGGGGCAGCTCGTCAGACGGGCAGGGAGAGGGAGTGTGTGTGGCTTTCTCTGCTCAGCTCTGAGTCGGAAGCAAGGACAAAAGCCAGAGGAGCTATCAGTGATGGATCCAGCGCTGGCCCTCCGGGGCCGGCTGGGACAGGGTGCGGTTTTGCTGCCTGAGTTGTTGCTGGAGGAGGTCTGACTTCTGCAAGTTTGACTGTGGAGCAGGCGGGTCCCCTGGACTGGCTGCTGTGGATGTGGTCGGCCCTGCTTTGATGGATGGGCTGGTCATTGTTTGTATGTTTCTAAAGCGTTTTTCTATCCCTGACCAATCTCCCTGTGGGTGGGGAGGCCTGTGGAAGGGTCAAGGCAGCCTTTAGCCATGGGCGGCTCACCGTGGGTGGCTCAGCCTCCTGCGTCTCTTTGGCCCCCAGAGCTGTGGCTGCTGCCTGGGCAGGGGCATGCCTCACCACAGCTGGGCCACCATCCACCCACCTTGAGGACTCCCAGGGTGTCTGCAGTTTGTGGAATTTGGGGTCCCCAGGGGGCCGCTCCTGGCTTCAGGCATGCAGTGGATTGGTTCACACTGAACCAGGTCAGGGACTGTGGGTGCAGTTGTTAGAGATGGAGTGTTGTAGAGACAGCCCGTCCGCCATGGACAGGAGTGACCCCCAGTAACGATGAGGTAACTAAAGCCAGGGTGGGCCAGGATGTTCAGACAGTGCCCCAGAAGGGCCCACTTCATAGAGCTGGTCAGCTGAATCCCGACTTCTGCCTGCCCCCATCTGCCCTGGGGCCCATCCGCCCCTGGTGGGTGCTCTGTTCCTGCTGACCTGCTGTGCCTGGTCACGGCTGTAGAATCCTGCCCCCTGGATACGGCTGGCTGGAGTGGGACAGAGACCAGGGACTGAGGCCGGGCCATCCTTGGCCCCCAGCACCTGTGCAGCATCCGGTTCAGATGGGTGCCTAGTAAGTGCTTACCATTCCAATGCGTATCCACTCTTCTCCAGGCCCCCGTATCTCACTGGACACCACGACTGTTTAGGAACTTGGAATTCCTAAGATTGGTGCTCTGTCCAATCCCTGGCTAAGGTCTCCTCTAGGTGAGGTGGAGATCAGTGTTTGCCAGGGCAGTGCCCCAGCTGAGACCGAAGCTGGCCCCAGCGGACAGAGCCTGAGAGGCAGCACCCAACCCCTTGGCTGAAATTCTGGGGCACACACAGCTAAGAGGGAGGTGGCGCCCGGCTCTGGTCTGGCAGTTCTGCAACACGAGGCCATGTCCCTGGGGTCATCCTGGCCTCCCCTCGAGCTCATGCCTCATGATCAAGGATGGTGCCTGCAGCGCCTGATGCCTCATCCCCTCCCAGGGCAGGAGGCCGGGGTGCAGGCCGGGACACTGGTTCTCTTTCGTCAGGAGGAGCAAATTCCTCACAGAGCTGGTAGTCCTGCCTACCTTATGGGGCCACAGGGGCCTCCCTGGGGGCAGACATTGCCAAACCCAGCTTCGTAGGTGAGGAAGAGGGAGAACGTGACTGCTGGGCAGGATACCAAGAGCCCAGGGAGGAAGCATTTTTCTCAGGGGTGTTGGTGGCATCTTCATTTCCAGTGGCATTTTCGGCCTCCTCCCCTTTACCCTCGAATTCCGCATGAGCTGGCTGTGGGGTGACCAGCCACCTGCTTTGCCTGGGGCTGCGGAGCTCCCAGTTGAGGGACTTTCCGTGCTAAACCCGGAGGGACCCAGCAAAGCAGGACCTACCGCCCTGCCCAGCACTGCAGCCTGGCCTGGGGACTGCGCTGCAGAGACAGCGGCAACTCTCAGCTGCTGCGACACCTGGCCATGGCCCAGGCTCCATGCTGAGCGCCTTCTGCATACACTGCTTCACTTGACTCTCAGAAAAGCCCACAGGCAAACACACAGCCCCATTTTATAGACAGGAAACCGAAGGTCAGAGCTGTGAGGGCACTGGTCCAAGATGACACTCCGGTAGGGGCGGAGCCCGCGTGTGGGTCTGGATCTGCTGGACACAAAGCCCAGGGCTCTCTTGGTAAAAGCTCCCTAGGAGGGGCCACAGGGACGTAAGGAAGAAAATGAGGCCACGCTGATGCAGAGATCAGGAGTGATGCTCGCTCGCACAGGGAGGGCAGCTTCGGGAGAGCCTCAGAGATGGGACAGAGGGACCCAGGGCAGGAAGGAGACTTAGGACCAGGTCTGGGCTGAGCATCATTACCATTGGGGGCAATATTCAGTGTCCAGGACGTCCAGATGGTCTCGGTTGTTCTGAAATTATTGAGGGAGGCAGCGGCCTGCCCACCCAGACAAGGTTCTTTTGAAAGTCAGGTCCCACATCCCCTAGATTCCTGTTCCCAGTCACTGTGTGCACAGTCAGCCTTGGGGACAGCAGCACGAGGGCCAGCCCTGCGGTGCGACTCTAACGTGTTCTTGTGTGCTTCTCCCAAGATGAAATTCTAGTCCAGGAGATTTTGGATCAGAGCAAAACAACATCGACTGAAATGCCAAGTACAGCATCAACATTACTAACAGCAATACGTAAGGAAAAAAGCAAGATTCCCCTTTTTAGCCCTCGAATTGCACTATTCCTAGAGGTCTGCAGTGTTGCATATGTGACCCTGTTATTTGGGCATTAAGACCAGCTATTTCTGGGGCAAGGGCACATGGACATGTGAGCACTATGGTGTCCAACACCGTTTCTGCAGCTTCCCGAGGCGGAGGAAGTCAACCCTAGCCTGGCAGGGATCATTCCCTTTCCTCTGGGATCTCTGGAGAGCGCGTTCAGGCACGTTCTCGCCCTCGGGAGCCACTGCAGGCACGCAGGGCACAGGCACATGAGTACAGTTCAGCACTGAGAGAGCAGGGCAGTTATCAGGACCCCATTTGACAGAAGGCAAAACCAAGGTCTAGGAAATGACTTGCCCAGCGCCACACAGTGAGCCACGAACAAACACAGACAATGCGCTTTCCCCAAGTGCAGCTTCACGTGGTCAAAGACACATGCAAGTCATAGGACAGCTCCTTTAAAACCAAGACCACGCATTAAATCAACAGAACTGGGTATCAGAAATCCCCATGCAGTGCCTGAAAATGCATTCAGCAGTGGGAAAGTTCAGCACTCTTTTGAAATCTTGCATCCAGATGTAAATTCTACTTCCCAGGACTGGTTTACCCGCCATCGGCCAAAGCCGACCCGACACCACTGGTTCAAGGGGGTCAGGAAATGCCTGACTCTGCTTACACATTAACTTGCCAAGACACATTTCCAAATAGAGCTTGCAAACTGTATTAGCACCCTGTCCCTACACTGTACAATAAAGTATGGGCCAAAAATGTTCATACCTGTGTAATAAAGGAAACCTTTCCCCATTTTTTCCATGTTCTTCATTGAAGATGCTGGTACTGATGAGAATTATCAAGTGGATGGTTCTGAGAATTATCATGAATTATTACAGAATCTACCATTTTCTTCTGGCACTGAGGACAAAATTTCCAATGACGGTAAATGCAACCCAGCAATTACCCCTGCCCAAGTCCAGCTGTAACAGGAGAGGCAGGAGTCGGGCAGACCCAGGCGCAAACATCTCCTTGGTGGAGGATAAATATTTGATGGGAGAACGTGCCTGCTTCCCCAGGTTGGGCAGATCTCCCGGTCTCTGTTGGGATTGAGGGACCCCCAGCACCCCTACCCCCTGCCATGGGGCTGACCCTAGAAAATCCACAGCCCAGGGAAGCACAGCAGAAATGTCTCAAGGGCAGGCAGATGTCAGGACAGGGAGGCAGGTGCCGCCATAATGCCTGGCCCCTTCTCCCAAAGCTTCAGCTAAGTCACTTCTCCTCCCCAGAACAGGTGCAGGCGAGCCAGAGTGCCCCCTGGGTGTTCCGCCAGAAGTGGGGAAAGGCCTCTGTCCAACAGATGAGTCTGCTGGGAAAAAATCAGTATGCAAAGGCTCTGAGGACAAGACACTTGGACCCCACGGGGAGGGGGGTGGCAAAATACCTCCTCTTTACCCTGGAGATTCAAAACCAGAAGGGGCACATGTATATACCCAGGTGTGTAAGTCTGTTCTCACACTGCTATAACAAACTGCCGGAGGCTGGGTAACAGAAAGAAACCAGGTTTGACTGGTTCGTGGTTCCGCAGGCTGTGCAGGAGGCATGGCTGGGAGGCCTCAGGAAACTCAGAATCATGTCAGAAGGGCACAGGGCAGAAGCACATCTTCACGTGGAGACAGGAGAGAGAGAGTGAAGGGGGAGGTGTTACCCACTTACAGACAACCAGACTTTATGAGAACTCACTGTCGTGCGAACAGCAAGCGGGAAATCTGCCCCCACGATCTGATCATCGCCCACCAGGTTCCTCCCCCAACACTGGGGTTACATTTTGACGTGAGATTTGGCTGCGGACACAGAACCACGCCATATCACCAGGACACACGTGTAGGACATCTGTGGTGTTCCCCACACGCAGGACCAGCTCACAGATCCACAGTCTGAGGTGTGCCAGGAGCGAAGCATTTCTGTAGCGGCCCGGGAATCTGCATCCATTACCCCAAACAGTCCCCCGACTAAGACAGAATCTGGAGCTGGGAAGGATTGAACTAGTTTTTTCAAGGCTTAAACAAGAATCAGACTCTATTTAAAATTAACACGAATACCTAATCTGCTGCCTTATGGTTAGTGTGGTGTTTGCCAACTGGGGATTTTCTCTTTCCGTCATTGCTTCTCCATTTATTAATTGAGATTCTGCTTTAAGAAAGTGCTACCTCCACTCCCCTGTTTACGTATTCGGCTGTCTATTACTGTCTACACGGGCTCCTGGTGATTTGCCGTAGTCTGAGGGTTATAAAACACTGACACCGTTACTGACCGTGAGCCAAGAACTCGGTGCTCAGCAAGTGCAATGGCACAGCACCACCTCCGGGCCCTCTCCACAGACGGAGCTAGGAAACGCGTCCCTGCAAAGCACAGATCTGTGCAAATCCTCCCTTTCTGGAAACCCTCCTTCTTCCTACCCGGTTTTGTAGCCGTGATCTTTTGTGTGGTCTTTTCTGTCGTTCGCGGTATTCTGCCATTTCAAACACAGCTGCAGCGAGCAGCCTGAGACACAGGTATTTTCATACTGTTGGAAGTTATCTCGAGGGATAATTATCTCCAGGGTGAATTCTGAGGAGGGAATATGTAGTTTTAACAGTCAGATGAGGCCGGCTCTGCATTCACTTATTTTCAGATAAAACTTGAAAATGATATTAGCATTTTTTAAATAAATGACCAAAATGCTTATAAGTGTGTAATCAAGAACATTTCCCCCATTTTTTCCATATTCTTCATTGAAGAAGCCAGTGCTAATGCGAATCTCCGTGGTGCTCATTCTGAGAATTACTATGGGCCTGGCAGTGAGAAGAGAGTTTCCAGCAAAGGTAAACGTGCCCTGCCCATGCTGAGAGCCCTACGGGAGAGACGGAGGCAGAAGCGTGTGAGGTGACTGTCCCCCTCCAGCCTCGCCACGACGCCAGTTACATCATTAGGTTTCCAACAGCCTCGTCATGATGAGGAGCGGTGTTTGTGTTACTTTGGTTTGTGATTGTCTCATTACGAGTGAGTTTGAAATTTTCATATGTTTAAGAACCATTTTTATATCCCTTTGTAAATGTTGCGTTTATTACATTTTCCCATTTTCCTTTAGGGTTTTGGTTTTTTAGCCTCAATTTCTCAAAGCTGTTTATATTTTAAGAACATTAAAACTTTGAGATACATGATTGATATAGAGATGTTTGATCGATAGATGATAGATAGATAGATGATTGTTGGAACTTGCTAGTTGACTTTTGACTACATTTATAATTTTTCATGCAAAAAAAGTCAATTTTTATATAGACAAAATTATCCATTTCTGACTGCCTTTAGCTTTGAATCTGAGCTAGAAAGTCTTTCTCCACACTGAGGCTGAAGAGGAATTTGTTTCCTCCAGTATTTACAGGACTTCATCTGCTTTGTCAAAACTCAGCTCCATTGGAGTTTATCCCTGAGCATGGTGTGAGGTGCTCCCAATTTCATCTTTTTACGAATGGCTACCCAGTTATCCCTGAACCATGTTTTAAAAGCCCATCTTTGCCCATGATTTGCAAAACCACACGTATGACACGCTGAGTTTTCCTGGTGTGATTGTCCCAGCTGGGCCATGCAGCACAGTCCTCTACTAAGGGGCCAGCACCACAGTGTGTTATTCAGAGTGTGTTTTAACCACTGGGACACACTTCCCTCTCTTAGTTCTTCGTTTTAGCTTTTCTTTTTCCATGTTTCCCTGATTATGGTTTTGGTAACATGTCTAATTTCCTTTCCTTGAGTTTGATTATATTTTTATTGGGATTACATTATATTTGTAAAGTAATTTAGAAAATAACTGGAATTTTTACAGTATTGACTGGTTTATCTAAGAATGAATAATGTCTTTCCATTTGTTCAATGTCATTTTCTAACTTTTAGGAATATTTTTAAGTCTTCCTTGTATACGTGTTATACTGTCATGATAAGCTTATTTCTAAGTGTTCAGTCGACTTTCTTGCCATTGGAAGGAAGATTTTTATCTATCACTCTGTACTTTAACTGGTTTTTTATATGAATGTCTGACTTCTCAAGGTTAATTTTTTATCCTGCTATCTTACTGAATTATTTCCTTGCTTGAGGTAAGCTTTATCATTGATTATCCAGGGTTTTCCAGACATGCCATATTATCATCTGTAAATAGAAATGCTTTTCTTCTTCTTTACTAATTTTTATGCATCTCACGGATGTCTCTTGCCTAATTTCATTGACTGATATATCCAGGATAATGTTTAATAGAAATAGTAGCAGAGTGAGTGGACATTGTTGCCTTGTTTACAGCCGTCATAGAAATGCCTGTAGTCTTTATCCAGCAAGTAAGATTCTGGCTTTGGAACAGAGGCATATGTATTTTAACATGTAAGGAAAACATCCATCAACCATTGAACATTTTGTTGAAGTCTTTTTCATCATTTTTGGAACCAATAGTTTTTTTTCTTTAAATCTATGTAATAAAGTGAATGATATTAATGAGTTTCCTAATACTGAGCCAACCTTGCATTTCTAAAATAAATTCAATTTGGTCATGTTGATTATATTCTTAGAATGCTCTTGGATTTGATTTGCCAATATTTTCTTTCATATTTTTGCATCCAAATACACAAATAACATTAGTCTCTGGTGGGTTTTTTAGCCTCACTTTATCAGGTTGAAATACCAATGTTATAATTAAAAAATGTATAATAAAAAGTTAGAAAATTTTCTTTCTAGGTTCTTATCGAGCATCAGAAGAATTTTGTCTTTTAAACTTTATGAGAAATGCTCTGTAAAACCTTCTCTTCCTGGTGCTTTTTCTGGGGTAGTCCTTAATAACTTTATTTCTTCTTGGAAAAGTGATTCATTTAGGTTCTACTTTTAGTTTAAGGAATCTCCACACTGTTTTTCCTACTGGCTACTTTACATTCCCACCAGCAGTGTAGAAGCGTTCCCTTTTCACCACATCCACATTGGCATCTATCTTTTTTCATTTTTTACTATGGCCACTCTTGCAGGAGTGAGGTGGTATCACACTGAGGTTTTGCTTTGCATTTCCCTGATCGTTAGTGATGTTCAGCATTTTTTCAAATGTTTGTTGGCTATTTCTATCTCTTCTTTTGAGAATTGTCTATTCATGTCCTTAGCCTACTTTTTGGTGAGATTTTTTTCTCGCTGATATTTTTCCTTGTAGATTCTGGATATTAGTCCTTCGCCTGATGTACAGATTGTGAAGATTTTCTCCCATTCTGTGGGTTGTCTGTTAACTCTGCTGATTTTATTTTGCTGTGCAGGACTTTTTAGTTTCATTAAGCCCCATCTATCTTTGTTTTTGTTACATTTGGATTTGGGTTCTTGGTCATAAAGTTTTTGCCTAAGCCAATGTCTAGAAGGTTTTTTCCAATGTTATCTTCTAAATTTTTATGGTTTCAGGTCTTAGATTTAAGTCCTTGATCCATCTTGAGTTGATTTTTGTATAAAGTGAGAGGTGAGAATCCAGTTTCATTCTTCTACATGTGGCTAGCCAATCCTCCCAGCACCATTTGTTGAATAGGGTGTCCTTTCTCCACTTTATGTTTTTGTTTGCTTTATTGAAGATCAGTTGGCTATAAGTATTTGGCTGTATTTCTGGGTTCTCTATTCTGTTCTGTTGGTCTATATGCCTGTTTTTATACCAGTACCATGCTGTTTTGATGACTACAGCCTTATAGTGTAGTTTAAAGTCAGATAATGTGATACCTCCAGATTTGTTCTTTTTGCTTAGTTTTCTTTGGCTATGCAGGCTCTTTTCTGGTTCTATATGGATTTTAGGACAAAATCCAGGATTTTGATATACTAATTAGCTCCATTATATTCTCTTCTTTACTTCATTAATTTCTGCCTTTGTCACTAATATTACCTTCTTTATTTTCTTTTATTGTTCACTTTCTTGCTCTTTTTCTAGTTTTAGACCTGAGTAATTTTTTTCCTTTTATCAATAATGTTTAGCACTATATTTCTTTAAATTTATTCCATAGATTCTCATGTATAGTGTTTTCATTATTTTCCAGAAATTCTGTCATTTTAGTTTGTACTTCCTTTTTAACCCAAAATTTTCTAATTCCCAGGTGGGAGAGCATTTTGTCTTTGTTTTTCTTAATAATTTCTAGTTTTATTGCCCTGTGATCAGAAAGTACTGTTTGTAATAGTTCTGCTTTACAAAAGCTGCTCATGGGCTGGGTGCGGTTGCTCATGCCTGTAATCCCAGCACTTTGGGAGGCCGATACTGGTGGATCACGAGGTCAAGAGATCGAGACCATCCTGGTCAACATGGTGAAACCCCGTCTCTACTAAAAATACAAAAAAATTAGCTGAGCATAGTGGCGCATGCCTGTAATCCCAGCTACTCAGGAGGCTGAGGCAGGAGAATTGCCTGAACCCAGGAGGCGGAGGTTGCGGTGAGCGGAGATCATGCCATTGCACTCCAGCCTCGGTAACAAGAGCAAAACTCCATCTCAAAAAAAAAAAAAGTTGCTCATAATTACATAAATATACTCAATTTTTGTGAATGTCCCATAAGCACTTGAGAAACAGGTGTATTCTCCAGTGTCAAGATTTAACAGGAATCTGGTGTGTGTTAATAATAGCCACCTTATTGATGGTGTTGTTTAGGTCTCCTCTTAAATTTTTCACCTATTCAATCTGTCTTTTGTTAAGAATAGTGTATAACTTCTCTACTACAAATGTTTTTCTTTCTGTGTCCCTTGCATTTTCTGTAGTTTTTGCTTTATGAGTTTCCTGTGTTATTTGGTACATCGATTTTTATGAATATTATATCTTCATTGTGAGTTCAAACGTTTAGTATTAAACGGACACTTTACTTGTCATGTTAATGCTTTGAGGATTGGATTTTACATCTTTGCCATAAGGACCACTATCTCTCGGCTTTCATATTAAACAATAAAATATATTTTGTCCATTCTTTGTTTTATTAGCTTACCATTTAAACTTTTATTTTTATTCATTTGCTTTTTTCTTCATCTTTTTAATTGTGCTAAAATACTCTTAACAGAATTTGCCACGTAAACATTTTTAACTGCACAGTCCCATGATGTTAAACACATTCATAATGTACAACCATCACCACCATCTGTCTCCAGAATTCTTTATATCATCTCAAATTGAAATTCTGTACCATTAACCAATAACTCCCCTTTCTGCCTCCCTCCAGGCTCTGGCAGACACCATTCTACTTTCCGTTTCACTCTCCGGGGCCTCATATAAGTGGAATCACACAGTCTTTCTGTGATTGGCTTATTTCATTTATCATAATGTCTTCAAAGTTCATCCCTGTCCTAGCATATGTCAAAATGTTATCTCTTTTTAAGGCCAAGTAATTTGCAAATTACATATATAATGAGATTAATATTGAGAATATATTTTTAAAACTCCTAAAACCCAAAAACAAATAACTCTATCTAAAAATTAGCAAAGGATTTGAATAGAGATTTCTTCCAAGAAGATTTACATGGCCAATAAGCACATGAAAAGAGGTTCAGCATCACCAATCATTAGGGAAATACAAATCAAAACTACAATGAGATATTACCTCACACCCATTAGGATGGGCAACATTAATGGGTGAGTTAAGCCCATTTACATTATAGATGTGACTGATAATTCATCACAACTCTGTCAAAAAATCATAACATTATGTGGATTGTATTACATTTGCTATGTTTCTTTAGGAGGCAAATATTCCTTGTTCTTTAAATTATAAACGTTGTCTGTTGTTGGGTTTTAGCTTTTATATATTCTGAATATTAATCTCTAATCATATATATATAATTTGCAAATTACTTGG